GTTAAACTTATATTAAAGTTTTTCTTCATTACCCATTTAAGCCGTCTCCAGCCATTATTAGTCTCAAAGTGGGTTCCTCGTCATCGAATTCACGATATATTATTCATTTATTTGTTTTTAAACAAAATCCAAAGAGCAGATATCTGTTTTAAGGTTAAGCCTCTACTCCTTACTTACCGACATTCCATGGCCAGTCACAAATTCTGAGTCGAGGGTTAAAGTAAAGAAAGCTTGGACATTCCTTGACGAGTGGGATGCTGCGGCAACAATGAATGAACAGATTGTGTTTGTTGGGAAGAGGGAAGAGGCCGAATGGCTTCTTACAAGATATCTCAGGAGGTTTCGTTGGCTCCTCGCAGTCCTTGTCACACGTTCTATTACAGTTGACATTTTTAGCATAGTCACAATTCTCTGTATCAGGGTTGAAGAAGAGTCCCTCAACACATTGCTGTTTGATAATATTACCACTGATACATAAAATAAACTTAGAGCAGTCATTGGGGTCAGCAATGGCGCAACAATCACATGGGCATTCCTTTTTGGCTGGGTAAACGATGAGTGGTTTTGTGATGTTCACTAATAAAGTAAACGACATTTCATTTCTTATCAGTAATTTGAATATTCGACTATAATCTAGACGAACAAAAGAGTCTATAACTACACACAATATACGAGAAGAGCTCGGGAACAATTACCTCTTCACCAGAATTCTTGAAAGATAAATATCTCATTTAGTTATGAAACTACTCACCAGAAGTATCCTTCCTGATCAAGTGTTTCTAAAACATGCAACTATGACGAAATTATATAACTCTTTGTTTCCTCAATTTAAAAACAGTTAATATTTATCACAGGCGTTATGCAAAGAAGTAGACAGCTGAGGACTAAGTTTGTGACTTCAAAATGTGTAAATTAACATGTGACTGTAAATTTTTAGTTTGTCAAGTCACTTTGCGCTGTGTTTGGTCTACATACAGATGTATAACCGTATGAAAGAATTATTAAATTTAAACAACCAAGATGTCTTTTTAAATCAAATGGTGTTCTGCTTTTATTTTATGGTTCCTGGCATTTTTATATATCAATGATACATTCAGAACGAGGACCCCGTGGAGGGTTTGGATAACCACCTTAACATTCTGACAGTCCAGTTATGTTCTAATCTCCACTTTTACGCCCAGATAAAATTATAAGTATATGAACTAAATCTTGGGATGACGCTCTTTTGAATAATCTTTTTGACGTATTATTAGGCCTTTGTTTTGTTGTAGTCAAAATAAATGACATGATTTCCTTGTTATAGGAAAAAGTCAGACATTTATTTTGAAATAATGCCTCCAACCCTCTAGGGCTGGCTACATCCCCTGTATAAATGTTAATATTACAAAAACCTCACATGATATATTGTCAGAGAGTAAGCAAACAGTGTATCAATATATTATATATTATACCGACAAGTTAAGCCAGACTTGAGAGCCGTTTTGGCAGCTCTAGTTAATTTTAAAGTAGGATGCTCAAAGAAAGTAAAATTGGTTATTATGAAATGGAAAACAAAAACATAGAAATTGTTTAAGTGATTCTTTGAATAAACACTCTATATTGAAATGATCATATACATATATATCCTACCCTATGAGTTAGATAAGGAAACAGACCATTAGGCTCGATACATCGTGTATCTTTACACTGCACTTGATCGGCGTAGCCGCATGTGCCTGTTTTTGGATTGAACGCGAGGTCAGATGTGCATTTCATCTCAATTCTCTATATTGAAGTCATCATATACATATATATCCTACCCTATGATAAATCATCATATACATATATATCCTACCCTATGATAAATCATCATATACATATATATCCTACCCTATGATAAATCATCTTCTAGTTTGTAGTTTGTTTATTCGTGTCGTCTGTGTTGTCAGCAAACGGATAAAATGTACCAGCGGGAAAGTTGTACTCGGAATTATCATATTTACAAGTTCACATGTCTACCAGTTACAGCACTGAATATTAAGTTAAACAAATGAGTTAAGGTCACACAAGTTAGTTTCAGCATCATGATCATATTCGGCGGCTTATATTAGGTCGGTTTTAATGACTGATATAGGGTTAAAAAGTTATATAAATCATATGTTTTCATTTCAGTAGCAATGAAATAGATGAAGAGATTAAACAGTTAAGGTATGTAAATTACACGTGTTAGATTTGTTGCAATACATATAACTAATGTACGAGTTAAATAAGGTCTATAAATCACATGTGTTAGGTTGAATGTAATAATTGATTTTTGTATTATGATATAAAAGGTATATTATTCATATATTCTACCGCAATTTCTATAACAGAAAAAAATACGAGTCAGACCAGTTTCTAAACTTGGCATTAGAACTGAAGGAAAGGCAATTTAGGCTCTTGTGTTAGAGCAGATGCTCAATTTTAAAGATAAGATACATTACTTACGATCACAGGTATCAGGCCAGTTGCAGATCATAGAGTTAGGGTTAAATCCGAGGCCTTCTGGACATTTCATGATCTTAACCTTCCAGTTCTCGCAATGAATGTAATAAAGACACGAGTCTGGATGAGGAAACAGACCATTAGGCTCGATACATCGTGTATATTTACACTGCACTTGTTCGGCGTAGTCGCATGTGCCTGTTTTTGGATTGAACGCGAGGTCAGATGGGCATTTCATCTCATACAGAATATTGTCTTTACAGAATTTGTACTTAGTACAGTCACTGGTGTCTGGTAAAAATGAGCATTGACACTCACACGTTTTGTTGGATGTTGGCATAGTTGTGGGCATGATATCGTTTCCTTAAGAGGCAAAAATAAAAATAGGTTATTAGAATAATACCATATTTTATGCTAAGTATTTGCTAAGAGTTGCCTTTATGTCGTATTAACTAAAATGACATATTCTGTTGTGATTTTTCTTTAATATAAATATAAAGATGAAAATTTGGCGAATTTTCTAACTCCTTATAATCTGGATTTTAATCTTGTTTTTTTGTGAATAATATACATAATTAAAAGTAAAAATCACGGAATTAGCTTTTATTTAAGACTTTCTAACAATCTCATAAAGTAAAAGTTTACCAAAGGACTGTTGACGTCATGAAAGTAGACATCAATTTCTACTGATCTATTTTTATCATAAAAAAGAAATATTTTTTAGCTGAAATGCCATAAGTTATGGTCTTAAAGCTATGATTAAAAGACGAAATCAAGGTAAAAACTGAAACTTACCACAGCCAGCGGTTTCTGGGCGATCACAGGTTTGGAGAAAACTATTGAAATGCAAAAAGGATGGACACCACTTATGGAAGGACATGCCACTAAAGCAATAATAATATCTTCCACAGTTTGTGGGATCAGGGAACAGACCACATGGCTTGGGGCATTTGAAACCAATAGGTTTTGGAGTTGTGGTCGGTTTCTTCGTTGTTGTTGTTGGCTCTGGAGTTGTGGTCGGTTTCTTCGTTGTTGTTGGCTCTGGAGTTGTGGTCGGTTTCTTCGTTGTTGTTGGCTTTGGAGTTGTGGTCGGTTTCTTCGTTGTTGTTGGCTCTGGAGTTGTGGTCGGTTTCTTCGTTGTTGTTGGCTTTGGAGTTGTGGTCGGTTTCTTCGTTGTTGTTGGCTCAGGAGTTGTAGTGGGTTTCTTTGTGGTCGTTGGTCGTGATGTTGTGGGTGTTTCGACTGTAGTTGTAATTGCTAATGTTGACAATAAATAACATAAATCGCGTTTTTCTTTATTATTAATGAATAATCTAAACATAATGAGTGCAACAGAACATGAGTAGAATTTTTTTAGCGGTTACTATTTTTAAAAAATCCGAAAATAGCAAAACATATAATCAAAATCTTTTTTGTATTTTCCAGTAAACTATTCTCTTATAAAAATAACATATTTAAGACCTTCGACAAAACATGTTTTATTTTGTAAGGTTTATTCAATGCAGAACTATAAAACACTATTGTGTAACAGTTTCTTTCCTGATCACTTAACTGAATCGAATGGACTTTCCTACACTAACGTCTCCTGTTTTTTTTCTCTCTTCTAATTGTAAATGAAATATTACTTACAACACCAGTTCAGATGCTATGTTCAAATATATGCTACATCTTTAAAAAATTAATTTTCATTGTCTTATAAAAAATAAAACTGAGCTTCAAAAACTCTGGACTTTTTATTTTCTTTTTTAATTAGCCAGGTTAAAAAATCTAGTCTGCATCACAAAGGCCCAGTGTTATTGCTTACAGTTTATTCGTAATCAAGCACAAAGCCACACAAACGGCTATCTATGCTCTCCCCACCACGGGTATCGAAACCCGGTTCCTAGCGTTGCAAATCCGCAGACATACCGCTGCGCCACTGGGGGGGGGGCTATTTCTTACACTCATTCTCCAATTCTTAAGTGTACGAAGTACAATATAGTTACTACATTCTAAATGTTTGATGCCTTAGGTAATTAGCATAACAAAAAAAGGGACTTCTGAACAGTTCATTTTCATTCTTATATACCAAGAAGCTATATTTATACCTAATTAAATATGTGACGTTTTATAACTAATTCTAATGTACTTGCATATTTATCTCTATAATTTCTACTGGCATTTATCAATTCGGTTTTTAAACACTAAAACTTTTAGAATATATCTAAATATTCTAAAACATTTAAAAAAGCTAAGGTTATATATAACGTGTGTCAACTTACTACATTCAACGTCCCTCTTCGGACCGCAGATTCCTTTTATACGATCATAGTACATATCTTTGGGACAGTTGACGAGATATGCGATTCCCCGCACGCATCGGAAAAACTGGGAACATGAAAACCATGTAGGATAAAGGCAGAACGAGTTGTTTGGGCACGTGATCAATTCAGTTATCACAAATTGTTCAGTGTTGATCACAGAAAGGATTTGACCTTGTTTCAACAGATCTGAAGAAAACAGAATTAACAATACTGATCATATAACCAAAACCCTGTTTCGATAGATCTGTAGACACAGAGAACAAACAGTATTGATTTTATCTCCAGATCCAGTACTTCTACAAACTTCAAACAGACATTTTAACTCATAGGAACAATGAAACTACATTATATTTCTTACTATGTGTAAAACAACTTAAATCCCAATTTGTTATCAAATCTTTTTTCGTTCATTTCCATCAATTTTGTGAATATGTTTTTCTTGCAGATCTTTAAACACTGAGTTATGGAAGGCAGAAAAAATATCTATTATTGTAAACTTTTCTTTTAATAATACAAGAAGCCGCAATGGCGAAACGTTGAAGTTATAAAAAGTTTTTTATTGTTATCATCTGAAGTACTAGTAAAGGTCGTGTATTTGTTTCTGACTTTGCTGCCAAAATGTCTAATTTCTCCAGTATGTACTATAAGTTCTGAAAAGCAACAACATCTTTATTTTTAGCAGTTAATAACAATTAGATGATTTTTTAAATTATTTTATGTGTTTCATTTTTATGAAGTCACGATTCGACATATTGTGGCTACTACATGTTTAACATCTAAAAATATTTATTGATAATTATGTTGAGGTTCTAATGATGAAATGAACATTCTGTATTTCTCACTTTAGGAAAATTACTTAAATTTATGTATTACTCTTACTAGTAAGCTTTTCGTTGCTGTTATTTAAAGTCTTTCAGTAAGTTTCTATGTTGTCAAACCATGTTTGAGCCCATAAGAAGCGTAGTTTTACCTTACTGTGTTACTTATCCAGCTATTTTCTTAATAATTCGAAAACCTGTTTTTATTATCAGTCAACTCCAAAATAATCCTACCGCATTCTCGTTAGACGCGTAAGTTACTGTGTTTCTAATACAATACCGGCTATGCTCGCACTTCAGCCTAAATTATAATTGGCATAATCATTTTTATTAAGCATAATCTCATGTTCTAACACGATGAAATAATGTATTATGCATTCATTTCAACTTGAAAATATCAGTGCTTTGCGTGTAGATCACATTACAAGATCTTATTTAGTCATTAATACTAATTTAATATTCAACTTTAGTGTCGTAATGTTGGTTATCGATCACTTTGATTCGTCGTTAATCTTAAAACTAGACTTTCTCCAAACTAAATTAAAGTATTCAGTTTCTTTGTTTTTACTCTTAAACAAAAAGCAGGTTATTTTCATACAAGAAAAGATGTTTATATATGTAACTTATAAAATGTTGCTACTTATGCTATTTGCCTCACTCAGTTATGAAACTGATGTGTGAAGTACAAGCAAATAATTATATATATATATGTTGTTGTTCTTTATTATATCCAAATATCTTACCTGATTTATTATACTCCTCAACAAGTGAATATATATGAATAACGCATGTATATTTTAAGTTAACACGATGTATAGCTTATAACGTTAATTTAGTAATGAATTGTCCATCCTGTAGATTTTAACTATTTATTGCCCAAAGCAAATACATTTGAGAATTAACCATTTAACTATTTTATTGTAAAGAATTGAAATATTTCATTATGTTAGAACAACCGAAAAAAAAAACTGGATCTTATATAACGACTTAAGTATGACCAGATTAGAAAAATTCAAAGCTGCAAATCTGTCAGAACCACTTGGATACACCCGTTGTGATGCTTATTAGGCTTAACAAGCTTTAGTGAGTGATTTTAAAATGAATGAATTTCTGGCTATTCGCAAACATGAGCTTATTGATTTTGTGAATGTACATACGTCAACTTTTGTCATTACAAGTTAGAAAGTTTGTAGACTACGACACAAAACGTGTAAACATATATTCCCACAGACGCACAACACAAACTATATAACCCATTAGGTGAGAGGCAAGGTCTCAATTAAAGTTACAACTGAAATGAAAACATAAGAAAACGTCAGAAAATAATGTGACCCTCTGTATATTTTTTGGTATGAAATAATTTATATTATTTGGTATTAAATTCAAAATTTAAGAATAAAATAAAACATTTCACTTCAGGTTCCGTGAATACACCCTAGTGGGTAAAAACGAAACACTTTGCATGCTCCTACGAATTTCTTTAACCAAATAACTAAATAAAATGTTGAAAGAGTGAAAAAGTTTATACCTTCTTTGCATCTTGAGTTCTCTGGCCAATCACAACCCAGAATCATTTGGTTGTACTGGGTTGGAGGATAGCAATTTTCTACTGCTGCTCTCCAGGAATTGCACTTATAAAACGTTGAACAATTCTCGACTCGCTGATAATACCCTGATATTTCTGGGCAGTTAAAATCTAGTACCCTGTTGTTCGAGACATTACCTAATGTTCCTGAAACATCATTCAATATTTCGCATGAGAGAGAAAAAAATCATGGAAAATATATATATATATATTTAATATACGCGTATCTAAATAAAACATCTGTACTCAGCTGGACCACTGTTATTCAAGCTTATCCTCAGGAATGCTTGCATTACAAGTACACTGATGTGAAAATAATATCAGCAGAGAGCACTTTATAAAGTTAGGAATTCACGATAAATTTTCACATATTGTGTACTCAATGCAGCAATTATCAAGATCCAATAATATTAATTTGCCGATTATTTATGAACTTGAATAAATGTAACAAAATTATCGAACATTATACTTTAAATCATAAAACACAAACTGAACGATTATTTTAAAAGTACACAGAATTACTGATGTAAGTTATTTTCAGAACCATAGAAAATGATTAATAAAAGTTAGTATGTGAAGTAAAGGAAAACACAATGGGATGAAAAATGT